GATTACCACACCGCATTTGGCTCCGCCAACGGGCTCTCAGCATAGGACAGCAAAGTGTCAATTACACAGAAATGTTTACATATTTTATTGCTTTTAAAAAAAATTAGATCAAATTAAGCCTAAGGCAGTTTTTTATTATTTCATGCTATTTCAGAATTGCAAATGCGTTCGATATCAATAGCATTTTTATTGTATGGCCATAACTTATCTTGCAAAGCTACATATGGAACATCATAATTATTGTTCAGTAAAAGGTTACTTGGTACAGTTGTTAATAATCATTATTATTACCATCAATGTAGCATGATCATCATCATAATAAACATTTTTAATTGTAATCATCATAAGCATCACCATAATCATCATTTTATCTCATTTAAGCACGGTAAAATATCCACACTGTAAATATTAAGCAGCATTTACAAACCAATATTTAAGGACTACATCCTGAGAACATGACATAGACTCATATTCTTATTGCGAACCCAAGAATAACTTTATAAATGCACAGTGATCTACCATGGTTACCCTGCTTTGCCTTCTGGTTGGCTGACTAATGTGACTTTCGTGAATTTCATCTCTGACATTTCAGAAACATACCCAACCTATTAAAATAATTTCAGTCGAGTGTTGTACAATTGCAATAACCTTGCAATGATGAAAATGTTCCGTTCAAGTTATTTTCAAATACGTTACGGTAGGAAGGTTGTCATTGAAAGAACACTATTACCAATTGTCGATATCCTCGTTAAAGTGATTTGAGTGGCATGAAGGAATTCTCCTTTCAACGTTTATAGTTTAACCCAAATTACAGCTGCTGGTTGTCACCTACACGATCCTGGATTTAAACAATTCATTATCATCATCATCATCAGCCATGCACGATCCACTGTTGGATGAAGATCTTCTTCCCACGCCGTCATCACATCTTACGACCCCGTGATGTCATCATTCACACAGCACCTGTACATGAGTTGATTTCATAGCTCCATCTCCTCGGTGGATTTACTGTCGGCTGCCACTCCCTCGCTGGGCTTGATTGGATGTCATCCCTTCTCGTGATGCCATCCCGCGCAAGTTCACTTACTTCTCCGAACAGCTTGAATGACAACATTAAACCTGCGTATGCCCTTTAATACACGCGTTCCTCTTTCTGTTTCTCAGTGTAATTCCAATCGTGCGTATCCCCGTGCTCTGTTGTGAACATTTCACTCACTGTTCCATTTATCTTTGCGTGAATGACCGTGTTTCTGAACCGTATGCCAAAGTAGGTAATGCACACTGATAAAACCATATTAAAGGAAACTTCTTGGATTACAGGTGGATAACAGGTGTTCTTAAAGCAGGTATGACAATTTAGTTTCACAAACTGTGGACATTAGTTCACAGCTTCAAATTGCATTTAGAACCATGACAAGCGATGTTTGTTCTGGCATCGAATGAGAATACATTTGGTAATGAAGGCAGTTTGCTTGACGGTACATTGTGATAAAACAAAGTAAAGACCAATTTGTCAGTGGAAGTCCTTGCTTTATTGTAGTTTGCAGTTGCGTATAATTTATGTTTGGGTGACTATTATAGTTAGATACAAGTTCATGAGTAAATATTCTGGTTTACTCCTGCCAAACTTTAACGAAATAGTGCACATTTTTAGTTTATTTCTTGAAATTAGCTTCATATTCATGGATAAATTCAGTACCCACCGTTTATTAACATACTAAATGTAATGCGCAATGATTTTCAACCCAATCAAGGAAGCATTGTACTGCCAACACGATACATTATTAATTCAGAAAGCACTGCAATTTGTTAGCATATGAAACACATTTTTTTTCCACAAAGACAGTTTGAATCAACGATTGCCATAATAGATCCAAGATATTTTAAAACACTACAGAGTAATATTGTGTTTTGGCACATATCCAAGTGCAGAGAGTGATCTGTAACACCAATATTGACAGCACCATATGTGATCAATAGAGCAGTGTAGCTGCCAGATGTACGTGGTTGTAATGTGTAAATGTAGATATGTGCTTCTCGTCTTTTCTGGCTAATTGTTTGAATGATAATAGGGTTTTTTACCAGACAAAAGGGGAAAAAACCTATTATCATATTTTGGTTTTGGCAAAGGAGGTCCCATGATGTAGATGCTCACCCCGAGCTCTCATTACTCTGATAGTGGCATTGTCTTTGGGCTGTGTACGCCTTTTGGCGTCCTCTGGTCTAACACCGTATGAGACGAGGCTCAAAAGAAAGCTGTCTCTGGTGTGGACCAATCAGTTTCAAAGACAATGCATATATTTTTATTGTTTAATATATATTTTATTATTTTATTGTTTCCCTTCAACGTGACTTTACCGAAAGAACTAAGAATATAAATGCATATATTATCAGAGTATATTTTTCGTTTGCATTCTGACCACAAGTATCGTGGTTAATGCAGACATGATTCCTTGTGAAAGGTAATTCTTTGAATGTTCTGCATTTTCTAGTGACATCTCACATGGCCGTACATTGTTTGGCTGTCTAATTATTAATGCTGGCATATTATGGCCAAATCTTTTTTTGGTCCAATCACAAACCAGGCTGTCTTAATAATAGTGACTAAAACACATTCCTGCGGAGGGAGCTGGTAGGAACGTTGGGTTGCTTGGTCAATGTCCAGGGTCAACGGTGGCGTGGTGTATTCCCCAAATATGCCCGACTGTGAGGGCGGGTACAAGCCGGCGTGAGTAGGTAAAACGTTGAGTTTTATAAGGGCACCACGGGGTGACCAGCCCCTCCCCACCCAGCCCCACCCTCCCCACCCAGCCCCTCCCCACCCTCCCCACCCAGCCCCCTCCCCACTCAGCACCTCCCTCCCCACCCAGCCTCTCCCCATCCTCCCTTCTCCACCCAGCCCCACCCCTCCCATTTTTGGATACACGACGGACGGACGGACACAATAATCCCCTGTGGGCTGGTGTAACCAGGAGGTTCCTACCAGTATAACTTAGCTACTAACTTGCTTGCCAAAAGGCCAGTCGCCATAAAGTGAGCCTTTTAATCCCTCCAGCCGCCTGATAATGTCTATGGTGAATTACAAAAGTGTATTTTTTTATAATGAAGTGCAAATATACGACCCATAGTGATATTACTATGTCCCATTGTGTATCAGTAAGATTTGACATTCCAATACAAAACAAAATACTTACAAAGTGTGTTTTAAACAATGGACAACTGTCCCTATGTCACAACAGGTTAACTTTGGGCTCCTGATTAAATACATAATAAAACACCATCGTGCCATCAATTGTTTAACATTAAACAATAACATGCTCTTGTACATCGGGCAGTGTCGTGAGATACATCTGGATACTCCGCTTTCCCTACCACTATGCGCGAATTGAATCGGCTAAAACATATGAAAAAACAGGACCGTCCTGATAAAAAAAAACGAGTCTCGAGTCTCAGCGAAATATTCTCGGGTGAGTAAAATGCATTTATCTTTCGACAGAAGGTAGTGAAAGTACACACTTCGGGCGATGTCTATAAAACCATATTCGCTTTCTCAAAAGCTGCAATCAACCCAGTGGCGTGTGCCGCTATGTCGTTTGAACAACGCTTTTCTTACTCGTTGGTTCTTTCGGAAAAGTCACGTAGGTATAAAAAATAAAATAAATTAACAACACAGGCAATCATCATCAGGTGGGAAAACCACAGCAAGATTTTTTTTTCTGCTGAAGTGGGAGAGAGATGCCGTGGTAAGAGGGTGATTGCTTGTGTTGCGATCGAAACGTCGTGATTTAATTTATTTTATACCTACGTGACTTTACCGAAATAACCAAAGAGTGTGGATCCCTGCAGTCACGAAAACTTCAAATCTAGTTTGAACGCTTTCTTGTTTAATCCGTAACGCTGCCTGCACAGCTGTTTCAGGACCATGGACAGCTCCTCGCTGCAAGGCTAAAACACTGGCTGGCAAGCCCCCTTATACTGGTAGGAACCTCCTGGTTACTACACCAGCCCACAGGGGATGGTTGTGTCCGTCCGTCCGTCGTGCATCCAAAAATGGGAGGGGTGGAGCTGGGTGGAGAGGGAGGGGCTGGGTGGGGAGGGGAGGGTGGGGAGGGGCTGGGTGTGGAGGGTGGGGAGGGGCTGGGTGGGGAAGGGAGGGTGGGGAGGGGCTGGGTGGGGAGGGTGGGGAGGGGCTGGGTGGAGAAGGGAGGGTGGGGAGGGGCTGGGTGGGGAGGGGAGAGTGGGGAGGGGCTGGGTGGGGAGGGTGGGGAGGGGCTGGGTGGAGAAGGGAAGGTGGGGAGGGGCTGGGTGGGGAGGGGCTGGGTGGGGAGGGGAGGGTGGGGAGGGGCTGGGTGGGGTGGGGAGGGTGGGGAGGGTGGGGAGGGGCTGGGTGGGGGATGGGAGGGGTGGGGCTGGGTGGGGAGGGGCTGGTCACCCCGTGGTGCCCTTATAAAACTCAACGTTTAACCTACTCACGCCGGCTTGTGCCCGCCCTCACAGTCGGGCATATTTGCGGAACACACCACGTGGTGCCGCATGTTGACCCTGGCCATTGACCGAGCAAACCAACGTTCCTACCAGCTCCCTCCGCAGGAATGTGTTCCAGGGTCAAGTTACGAGTTAACTATATATTTTTATTTCACCAGGTAAGGCCCACTGAGCTATTGCGCTCTTTTTCACAAGCAACGTGGCTATCACAAATGATAGCTCTACGAAGTGGCTTATCACGTGGACATTTATAGCAGCCAAACACTGTCAACGCATGTTGATTCTAAATGTGGAGGGAAAAACCGGAGGACCAGGAGAACAATCCACGTGACCAAGGGGAGAACGTGCAAACTCCAAATATACAGCAGGCGTCAGTGTCGGGATCGAACCCACGATCTCCTGAATACCAGGCGAGGTAGTTAACAGCTGGTCACCATGGTGCCCAGTAGTAACAGCAGCAGCATCATCATCAGCATTTGTACGACACACACACACACACAAACCGACTGCCTTACTTTTGAAATTTGGCCTGATGCGAGCATCGTAGCCGGATGTTTTCCCCATGAGCTTGTCCAGGAAATCGGACGGAGAGAGCTGCACCGGTTGGGGTGTTTTTGCAGGGCCAGCGAGGCGGGGCTGCGCCAAGCTGAGATTATAAAGGGGGGGGGGGGTGGTGACACACACAAATAAGGGGTTAGGGATAAGAATTTGCACTTATGCGGCTCTTAAATACAGTGCAGTATCTCCAAGCACGTGAAATGGCGAGACAAGCACGAAATACGAATCGCAAAGGGAAGAAAACAAGGGGGGAGAAAATTCAGAGAAAGGGGCAACCAATAATTTTAGACAAATCTAAAAATGGAAACGACGCCGGATCATGGAACACGCCGGGAGGCAACGCAACATCCGTGTAGGTCCACAAAGCGATGGAGGAGGAGAAACAGGGAGAGGCGGAGGCCACGTCGTTGAAATCTCGGTGTGGTGCTCAGAACCTAGATGTGCGCTTTAAGAAGCCGTGAACAACGATTGGATTTAGGGCTGTCCATGCCTTTCCGTTACGCATTCATTATTCAGAAAGCTTATCAATCATGGACCGAGCCGGGATGTGTGAATAGGAGGACACGGGCGCCTGCCGATGCTGGTTCGGTCGTAAATCGTAGTCTGATGACTGCTTCATTTCGCCCGAAGTAGATTTCTCCCGCGTTGACGCATTGTTTTGGGAGTGATTGAGATTCAAAGTAAAACAGTTTAGCCGTGATTGACAGTGTCACTCGCTTGCATCCGCGTAAACCGGCGTCTTTATTGTTGTTGTTGTAAATTAGTTTAATAACCGAGCGCACATTAAATGACGGCTCGGCTTCCCATCTACGGCCTAATGCACGTTCCGTGACACGCTAATGACCAGTCTGACCGAATCATCCAGAATACTCCCGGTCTCGCCAAAGCTCGGAAGGCTGGACGTTGCTTGGATTGGTGACAGAGTTTGCCTTCGGTGCCGTGAGGCTCCATGTCTTGGGCAGCAGCGGTCAGTGCAGCAAAATGCATTGTTGTACTGCACTTATATGCTCCCAAGTGAATGTTCCCCGTCTTCACCGACTCCGACCAACGTGGTTAAATACATATAGGTGGACTTCTCCACAAATCTGGCTGTCGCCTGATGAAGCTGGTTGTAATTGTTGGCGAAACGTCGTACTAAGTTTGTAAATGTTGTGGCTTGGCTCTCCAACACACCGGTGTGCTGTGCTAGTAACGAATTTGCCACGTTCTGTTTACCTGACAAATCTTACTAGTTGGCTGTGTCGGGTGGTGGCGGGTTTAACGGCACATTTGTACATTTACGCGATCTAACCCTAAAAAAACCTGTATTATGGATGATGTTGGTCGCAAAAGCCTACTCCAAAAGTTCACCCTCAAATAACCCCACGACCAACGCGACGTGGAAGGGTGGAGGGGGATTCATCCAGCGGTGGATTGACAACAGGGCCCGAACGAGGACAAGCGCAACGTGCACGCCGAACCCGCGTTCACAGGCCACGAGCCAATTTGGTTGATTTAACAGACAACAACAAAAAAAACGGGCCACAAAACTGCTGTCGAGTGAGCCGCGACCCTCCGTCCCGTGCGACAGATCGCCAGCAGCGTCCGAATCGCACGTCTCAACACATCCCCCGTTCCGCTGGTCGCTGCGCGTTTACGACCGAGGCCATGGAGTGAACGTCATTCCTCACCTCCCGTTCAACAACAGAGACTCTCGTGTCCGATACACAGACGAGTTACTTTGTTTGTTAATAAGGGTGGAAGATTTCTGCAGCCTCGAGCAACGAATGTTGTGATGATAAAGCAATGTTATTAAGCTCGCATCGTAGACGTGGTGGTGGTGGCGGGGGGGGAAGGGAGGTTTTGTGCCAGATAGTTTAACTTGCGTATTGCTTAGATACCTCAGCGAGCTGGCTTGCCTGGTGTGTCACGTATGCGATGCTATTTGGCTGGCGTTGCTGCACAATCGCATTTCCTACTACGCCCCCGCACCGATCTCCATCCATTCCCGTCTCTCTCTCTCTTTCTCACTTTCAGCTAGAATTTAAACAGCCACATCAGTTTTCATTACAGTTCCGCTTTTCGCATATACAGTATATATTCCGCGTGTGTGTGAGTGTGTGTTATATTCACAGATAGCACGCTGCGTTGGATGGCACGTGGATTTGTTTTCTCCCCCGAATCGATTCCCCTGCTAAGCTGTTAAGACAGCAGACTGTCAAAATATCTGCGACACGCGGCGATAACGGCTAATGAAGCTTCACGGTAGTGCATGCCGTCCATCCCCCCGACTCTTTGCTCGCATATTGGTACAGCCAGATTTCGTGCATGCTCTTGCACGCACGCATACAGACTCGTGTCTCAATTACGTGCAAGAGCAATGGCAATTCTCGGGATAATAAATACGCGTGTATGTGCTCATTGATGCCCGTATTGATCAGACATCTTATTGAGGAGTTGGAGAGAGTGTGTCGGAGAGTGCGTGTGGTTGCGTCGGCTGGGTCATTGAACGCGCATGCCCAGCAACCGCATGCCCAAGCAGCTTCTGTTTGGCCGGATAAAGGGTGCCAAACAGGCGCGGCACGGGCTAGAGAAGAGATGGAGTGATGTGATACGAGATTGATATGGAACTGAGTGGACTTGCCGATGACTGGTACCAGCGGTGTCAAAATCGGCCTCTGTGGAGGAGGCTCGTGAAGGACGCTACCGAGCAGTTTGAGGCAGTCCGCCTCCAGAAATAGCCGAGGGCAGAGGAACTACGCTCACAACAACGAGCGGAGCACCGGGCGGCTAAAACGCAGCAAGTTAGCGCAGTGAGAAGCACAGCTGTTGCCTTGGCCAGTCATCCTGAGTCAGTCAACCCATGGCACCTAGGTCTATCCCGTGGCCTACGGCCATGCAGTCTTTCACACTTCACGCGGCTCAACGTGCACCTAGCCTGGCACAAGCCCGTGGTATATCATCGCCACTTAGTTATCAATGGCGATTGTTGCCGGTTGCTGTTACGTGTGTTGGTGTATTTTCATAACTGTGTGTACACGTGTAGGTGAACGTGTGTGTGTGTGTGTGAACGTGGAAATTGGTGGCGCATTGGTTAGCGCGCTGCGCTACGAACCAGGCGAGCCGAGTTCGATTCCCACTCATGGCTAACACCAGTGACGATTATCTGAACCGGTCCTGGGCCTCCCCGAGGTCAAATCAGCCTCAAATGAGTACCCGGTGAGTAAATATCGCAACTGGGGAGACAAATGCGGCCGGGCGTGTTGCTGGCCACCCACCCCCTCGTGCGCCGTGCAGGCCTTCCATAGGTGCTACTCGCTAACAGCACTTGCCCCAAAAGTGTGTTAAGGCTACACGGGGGGGGGGGCTTTTGTCTTTGTCTCACCAGCTCACATGGCTCACTGAGTGCGAACGGAAAGAAAAAAACACCCATGTCAAAATGGCGCCTTGGCTTCATGACATGCTAATGGAGTCAACGTAACATCGACACTCGAATATCGACACTCGAATTCACTTCCCAATGTGATTGATGCTGCGAAACCCCCCCAAAAAGACGAACCTTTATGCGTAAGATCATTTACGACAAGGGCGACGACATTTCGGATCGTCCTAGATGTCGACGCCCTCCACGCTTTCTAAACTCTGGAGGCTTCCTTGACGCGGCGTGTGTGCACAAACTAAACTTTAGTGTTGTTGTTGTTCTAACACCTTGTAGTCTTGTTACCTTGTAGTCTGTCGATAGTGGCATTCAACTCGAGCGTATGAAATGAACGTTTTATTACGATTCATTATTTTCCAAAGCGGTCCCTGTAATGCAATTTAATTTTGGAGATTAAAAACAGCGAATATCGCTCACCCTGACGTTACTTAACATACTATTTCATACACGTGCTGCAAGGGACACGCATGCTATTCCTATCTACTTGACGGAAATGACATCCACCTTATCCCCACGCCGTCAGTCTGCGTTATATGAGATTGGTCACGCCGACAGCTGCCCACGTGTCGGCAACCACATGGACAATCAGCGAAGGGGCTGACGTGTGGAAGTTAGGAATCACCGCCAAGTCTCGCCAGTCAGATCATCCTGACCTTTCCGACGCTACAAGTTGCGGCTTAAGAGCGGATGACAGCTGTAACGCGGCCCTTACAAACAAAATGTGCGCTCACCATAGCGCGCATACTGTCATTGCTCGGTCCTGTGCTATGTTCGTGCATTAATGTCAGCACATCGTAAACGCACGCGAAAAACAATTTCACATTGACTTACATGGGCATGGAGTAGAGAGAGCGAGAGCGAGACGGATGGATGTTGTGGATCGAGATACGGGAATCGTGCAAGTGGCCAGAGAAGACGAAATCACAGAAGCACAAAGGGAAATGTAATTTGAGCAGCCGACTTCTTATGCCATGATGGGACTTTTTGGCTTGGAAGAAGATATCATCCAGCGCATCCGATACAATCTCATCAAAAGATAGACCAAGAGCAAAACAAAACATATCCGATGTGTTTATTCACTCCACACACACACACACACACGTACGGTACGAAAGAAGTTCAACATACACACCGCAAAACGCATGTCCATGGTGCGCGCAAGTTTGGCCAAGTGACATTTTTGCGGACAAAAACACCAAAAAAAGGTGACCGGACGATGCTCGATGCCGAACGTACCTGAGGCATGTAATTATTTCGATGACGAGAAGGCAGAACGTAAGCAGAGCATGGATCGACGCCGTCCTCATCCCGTATCGCCAATGCGATCAAAGACTCTGACCGCGGAGCCTGAGCGAGCGGAATGTACAGAACGCTGCTGCTGCTGTTTCGGCTCCTCCGGGTTTCTCTCGCGCGCTCTCTTATCTTTCTCCTCCGCGCCCCCGTCCGCTGGAACGCCCGGCAAAGGGAAAATAATAATTTATTAATTGATAGCAACACGCTGCTGTGCCCTTACTACTGCGCTGTACATTATTATATCATATCGTATTGTTCACGTGCGTGTGTGTGTGTGTACACACACAGCGTGGGGGACGGAGCGATTCTTCGGTACATATGCGCGCGGGAAGAGACGCTATTCAGCAGCAGCAGCAGCAGCGATGATGATGATGATGAACAACAGAGGAGGAAGTCTTCTTAAGCGATGCAATGTCCACCCCAGCCGACCGAGCGCGTGATCCAACCGCTCGCCTCGGCACCGCCGTTGCACTTCGCTGGGCTTCGGAACACAGCAGCTGCTGACACTGCTGCTGCTGATGTTGTTCTTGCTGATGCTGAGAAGATGAAGAAGAGTAACGAGACGAAGCGCAAAGAGAAAACGCAGCTGAGCATCTGTCGTGCTCGCAAAGGGTGCGGGTCGCTGGCGAGGTTCGCGCGATCAAGACTTCTTCGGCCGCCGAGATGCATCGAGTGGGCTGAGGATGCGCGTACGGCCGGACGGGCTCGGGGTTGAAACGAGAAGGGGGGTTGCTCCTCTAGCTCGGCGCTGCAGGGGCGAGGAGAAGGGGACACGATCGGTGGTCGCACCCTTGCGACTGCATTTGCCCGCTGCTCTCGCGTCTCCGGTGGAATGAGTGGCGAGGGGGCGGGATGGGGATGGGAGGGCACTGGCGGCAACAATTGGAGTCGTGATCGTAACGCCTGATGTGGAGCGCCTCTGCCGTGCAGTCGAGGAATAAGAGGGGAGCATTCGCAGCGAGCCACAGATGCGAGTGGTGTTCCCCCTCGGTGCGTGCATGTGCGACACACAAGCAGACTGTTGTTGTTGTTGTGGTTGTGTTGCGTTGTTGAGGTCAGCGCGTTCGAGTGCGTTGCCTATGCGGTCGCATCTTCAAATGTGAAGTGCGCGCGCGCGTGTGGAGCTGTCATACCCATGTCTGAATAGGTGTGCGAAAAGGTAGTTTAGTGGTTAGAGGGAGCGGTGGCGCTGTGGTTAGCGCACCGCACTACGAACTTGGCCGACAGAGTTCGACTCCGCTTTAAATGAGTACAGTACTTAATTTTTGTGCGTAAACATCAGCATGGGGAAGACAAAGATGGTCAGCGTGTTGCTGGCCACCCCCTCTTCATAGCTGCTCGCTAACAGCACTTTCCCCAACAGTCTGTTACAGGCTACACGGGGGATCTTTGTCTTTGTAAGCGCGCTACAATACGTATCCGGCGACGCGAGATTGATTCCTGCTCACGACCAATACCTTTAATGATTATCTGAACCGGTCTTGGCCCTCCTCTACTGTCAACTCAGCCTCAAGTGAGTACCTGGTGCGGTGTGTAAACATCGCCACTGGGGAGACAAAGGCGGCCGGGCGTGGTGCTGGCCACCCACCCCCTCGTGAGGCGTAGCGGCCTTCAAAGGTGCTAGCTAACGGCAATTATGGCCAGGCTGAAATGGTTACACGGGGATCTTTTCCGTACTGGGCTTTCTTTATTTTTTTGATCGACTTTAACATTACACGACACTTAATTACTCGGTTCGCCAACGGTGGGAATACAACTGTGTGTACGTAAAGTGTTTACTGAGATCAACGAGGAATTACAGGCTGAGCCTGCCTTACGGGGTACGAATCAAGCTCGCGTCTTACGACATAAACCAGGTTGCCTGATCTTGTCAGAGAGATGACCATCAATACAATAAACAGGTCTTATCGGCTGCCGAGGGCGTTACAGCGTGGGCAGCAGAGGGCAGTGCAACAAATACATGACGATTTATAAACGCTCATTGTATTCACCGGTGCGCACCGACCAGCCTGGTGAAGTATGTTGGGAAAAAAAAACACATAACTCCCACAGCCCATAATTGCATCCAGAAATATGTCAATAGTGCTCTCGCCTGATAAAATAAAAGGCACATAGACATTTCGAACCAACACGCGAATAGTCATGCAACGCCACACAGTATGAGCAAATGTTCTTGTGACTGTCATTTCCACCACCCCCCCCCACCACCACCCTCCCACCACCACCCACAAATATATCTCGGTGCAAATCAATGCGACGAGTAATTATATCTCGATCCGCGTAACAGCGGATGAATTCTCGTGGAATCTGACATCTGTCTTGGTGGAAAGTTCCTTTCTCCGCTGTACATATCGTCGCAACCCTCCTCAGAACGCAGAGGCAATGGTCTCGTTTTTATTTGTCTTCACCCCCTTGAATGAAAATCTATTCCTCCCTATACTGTATATCAATTCCTATTAACCTACCACAGGTTGCTGGAGCAGCATATACTGCATTTCCTGTGGGGGTTTATTTTTTAAAGAGAGAGAAAAAAACACTGCCTCAACCTGCAGGCAAGGAACCCCGGTGATTTGTCATTTGTTAATGAGTCCGGCGGTGCATGCGTCGATTTTTAGCACTTTCCACTTTTCGGCAACGCCATGTATTATACATAGTTTGGACAAATCAGTATCCAAAGACCCTTGCGTTCTGCAAACCAGCGAGCTTCCCCAGCGCCCAGTGAGATCTGTTTTTATTGTATAACCAGGTCCTGTAAGAATTATACGCCATGTCAAAGATTCACATGCATGTGGATTGTCCACTTATTTTCGAAATTTGCGTGCAAAACAACTGAACCGTAATATGTGGAGAAGCACACACAGAGAGGGGCATGGGGCTAGAGAGAGAGAGAGAGAGACGCTCACACACGGAGACATACAGAGACATGGACATGCACACAGAGCTATACACATAGGAATATATGGAGAGTGATATTGGGATACACACATAGAGATACGGAGATGCAAACTAGAGCGTCATGGAGATGCAATAATTTCCGGTGTAGCCTCAGTAGACTGTTCGGTTAGCGAGCACCTAAGAAGGCCGACACGGCACACGAGGGGGTTGATGGCCAGCACCACGCCCGGCCGCCTTTGTCTCCCTAGTAGCATAGTATACACACTGTACCAAGTACTCATTTGATGCTGAGTTGACCTAAAGGAGGCCCAGGATCGGTTCAGATAATCATCACTGTTATTGGCTGTGAGCGTGAATCGAACTCCAGTCTCTGGGTTTGTATCGCTGGACGCGAAACGCTCCAGTATCGCTCCCCACACATGTTTGGAGATGTACAAAAAGACACACACACATAGACATGGAGATAGATTAAGATGCAGAGATACAAAGAGGGAAATGGAGATACACAGAGAGGGACATTGAGATACATACAGAGGGAAATCGAGATACAAAGAAAGAGACATGGAGATACACACAGAGAGACATGGAGAGACACAGAGAGACATGGAGATACACACAGAGAGACATGGAGATACACAGAGAGACATGGAGAGACACACAGAGAGACATGGAGATACACACAGAGAGACATGGAGATACACAGAGAGACATGGAGATACACACAGAGAGACATGGAGATACACACAGAGAGACATGGAGATACACACAAAGAGCGATGGATATACACACAGAGAGACATGGAGATACACAGAGAGACATGGAGATACACACAGAGAGGCATGGAGATACACACACAGAGACATGGAGATACACACAGAGAGACATGGAGATACACACAGAGAGAGACATGGAGAGACACAGAGAGACATGGAGATACACACAGAGACATGTAGATACACACAGAGAGACATGGAGAGACACACAGAGAGACATGGAGATACACAGAGAGACATGGAGATACACAGAGAGACATGGAGAGACACACAGAGAGACATGGATATACACACAGAGAGACATGGAGATACACACAGAGAGAGATGGAGATACACACAGAGAGACATAGAGAGACACACAGAGAGACATGGAGAGACACACAGAGAGACATGGAGATACACACAGAGAGACATGGAGATACAGAAAGAGAGAGACATGGAGAGACACACAGAGAGACATGGAGATACACACATAGGGACATGGAGATACACACAGAGAGACATGGAGATACACAGAGAGACATGGAGATACACACAGAGAGACATGGAGATACACACAGAGAGACATGGAGATACACACAAAGAGAGATGGAGATACACACAGAGGGACATGGAGATACACACAGAGAGACATGGAGATACACACAAAGAGAGATGGAGATACACACAGAGAGACATGGAGATACACACAGAGAGACATGGATATACACACAGAGACATGGAGATACACACAGAGAGAGACATGGAGAGACACAGAGAGACGTGGAGATACACACAGAGAAACATGGAGATACACACAGAGAGACATGGAGATACACACAGAGAGACATGGAGATACACACAGAGAGAGACATGGAGAGACACAGAGAGACATGGAGATACACACATAGAGGCATGGAGATACACACATAGAGACATGGAGATACACACACAGAGACATGGAGATACACACAGAGAGACATGGAGAGACACAGAGAGACATGGAGATACACACAGAGAGACATGGAGATACACAGAGAGACATGGAGAGACACACAGAGAGACATGGAGATACACACAGAGAGACATGGAGATACACACAGAGAGGCATGGAGATACACACAGAGAGAGACATGGAGATACACACAGAGAGACATGGAGAGACACACAGAGGGACATGGAGAGACACACAGAGAGACATGGAGAGACACACAGAGAGACATGGAGAGACACACAGAGAGAGACATGGAGAGACACACAGAGAGACATGGAGAGACACATAGAGAGAGAGACATAGAGATACACACAGAGAGGCATGGAGATACACACAGAGAGAGACATGGAGATACACACAGAGAGACATGGAGAGACACACAGAGGGACATGGAGAGACACATAGAGAGAGACATGGAGATACACACAGAGAGACATGGAGAGACACACAGAGAGACATGGAGAGACACACAGAGAGAGACATGGAGATACACACAGAGAGACATGGAGATACACACAGAGACATGTAGATACACACAGAGAGACATGGAGAGACACACAGAGAGACATGGAGATACACAGAGAGACATGGAGATACACAGAGAGACATGGAGAGACACACAGAGAGACATGGATATACACACAGAGAGACATGGAGATACACACAGAGAGAGATGGAGATACACACAGAGAGACATAGAGAGACACACAGAGAGACATGGAGAGACACACAGAGAGACATGGAGATACACACAGAGAGACATGGAGATACACACAGAGAGACATGGAGATACAGAAAGAGAGAGACATGGAGAGACACACAGAGAGACATGGAGATACACACATAGGGACATGGAGATACACACAGAGAGACATGGAGATACACAGAGAGACATGGAGATACACACAGAGAGACATGGAGATACACACAGAGAGACATGGAGATACACACAAAGAGAGATGGAGATACACACAGAGAGACATGGAGATACACACAGAGAGAGACATGGAGAGACACACAGAGAGAGACATGGAGATACACACAGAGAGACATGGATATACACACAAAGAGAAATGGAGATACACACAGAGAGAGACATGGAGAGACACACACAGAGATAATGATATGTTGCTATCTTCTGGCCATTTTGGATCACGTTGGAGATCTGTCCCTTTAAATTCTGGGGTCATCAGTCACGCACTTTATTAATTACATGCAACGTGTTGTACACAAACCCCGCACAATGATGGCCTGCAGTAGGGGAATTGCTTTTTGATAACAAAAAAAAACTTCTTCGCATTGGTGTAATTTGTTGCGTGTATACACAGAGATGCTGTGCACAATACACGACTGTTA